TCAAAGAGCACAGGAGCTTGTAGGGATGCGCAAGTTTCATGTTTAAGTATTTTCGTTCTCTTCATCTTGCGTTGGTGTTTGCATTGGTAGCATTTGATGAAAAAGACTTTTAAACATACCTATAAAGCTGATGAAATAGGATATGTCAAGTAAAATAAAATATATACAGAAGGCATAATCAACTCCCTGGGGTATTAAAGTAACACATTGGTCTATTTCTCCAGATCTAAACAGATGGAATTCACCACAGGGAGAAGAGAAGAATTAGGTCACAGACATGGGCTATCTGTGGGCAACGGTATCTGACTACTCAGGCCCTGCAAGCTGCCCAGAATGAAAAAGCACAGGTTGGTGCCTGCTTAGAGAAAGGTAGGGAATAATTCCAAATTTGTATATCTGATCTTGTGACTTAATCATATGGCATTGAGAGGTCAAGTTTTGCCTTTGGTGGTAGCTTATAATAATTGTCCTCAATTAAAAACAAAACCAACCAACCATGCAAACAAACAGAAAAACCCCTAACTTCATGTCCTAGTACTATATTTGAATAGTTTGAAAAAAAACTATCCCCCCAAAAAACTATCTTGTTGACTCAGCTTATACTTCAGGCAGTTTAATTTCATATAAATCAATGGTATTTTCCCAAACTAGACAGTGACAAAAGAGTAATCAGCACTCTACCTGTTCTTCATAGAAGCCATTTTTTTATCCACTTCCAGTGGTGCATGCATTTACTTGAAATATGAACAATATCAGCTCTTCCCAGATGGAATGTGTAGGACCTGACCCTGCAGCACTTTTGTATCTGGGACTACTTCACAGGTATTTTACACTAGCCTAAAAAGATATTGATACCAGTACTGTGGTATGAACAACATTAACCCAGGGGACAGGGATCAAGATGAAAAACATTAAGAAATCATTGTTAAAATTGCTAATCCCTAACTTGATCCCTTTTAAGTTTTGTGACTGATGCTTGCTTGGAAGTAGTATCCTGTGAAGTTCATTAACTTGAACTTTATGTATGAATTAATTGTTGTTAAATTTTTTAAATATTTGGTAAATGAAATTGGTAATATCAGAGAAAATATTTAATCCTCACTAATTCATTGATTTAGCATTAACTTAGAAACAGAAAATAAACATTTCATATTGAGACATATGTATGACCTTGGATGACTAGAGAAAAATCAAGGTGGAACTACTTGGATAATATTAGAAAATGCCTGAGACTCTTTATATAGGAATGGCAAGGTATGTAAATAAGCACCATCTTTAAATAGATTAAATGCTACATAAAAGATTCCTCCATTCTTCCAGCTGCTTTCCCCTCCCCTTACCAAGATATAAAAAAATCAATCGTTTGCTTTACTAACGTATTGTGTTGTCTGATACAAGTCACTTGTCCCTACAGGCCTTATCTTAGTATGTAAATCATTATAGATGCAGAAACATAAGTAGTTTCTCCCAGTAGGGATAAGAATGGGTTGGTCTTCGAGGAACTAGAGAGTATCTTGTATCTGCTTGATATTTAAAAACTTCTGTCACAAAATACAACAAGAACACAAACTTCTGCAAGGTCTGAGGGAAGATACTGGTAACAAACACACAGGACTCTGTAGAAAAGAGACAAGAGGCTGGCTAAGCTAGATAACAGTTTGGTACAGAGAACTTCTAGGTACAACAGACTTCATAATCTCAGCTGAAATTTGCACAAGTGACTTGACTTGGTTGAGCTTTTGCCCCTTGTGTGGTATGAAATAATTCTGGCTTATAGAAAAAAATCTTATAAAGTTATAAATCTTGGTGAGAAACTCAACAATTTATTCCCTAATGCACTGCAAGATCATAGAATAGTTTGGGTTGGAAGGGACCTTTAAAGGCCATCTAGTCCAACCCCCTTGTCATGAGCAGGGACATCTTCAACTAGATCAGGTGCCTCAGAGCCCCCAGCTGCTTACTTTAATTAAGAGTTTTATAAATATAACAGTGCATCACAAAGTAACCAGTGGTAAGCTTCTCAATACTTGTATGCTTTATGTATTTATGATCTTACTTGCAGTGGCTGTGTCTTTGCATTCTGTCCTGTGGAAGGCGCTGAAGTGAAATTTGTCTGTATTCCCGCAGAATCTGTGTGGGTTTTTAAAGAAACCCTTGCATACGAATTATTTCTTACCTCTCATCTTCTTGGTAAACCTATTTTATTTTTTCAGTTAAAGGAACAATAAGAGATGTCTGGCTGACTTGCTCTACACCTTCACATACCATTAATAGTATGGTATCACCAGCATTTAAGTAACTCAGTGGAAAATGTCATGTGTGATGAATTATGTGATTTATTTTCCCTTAACTGGCTGTAGTGGGTTTCTGTGGTTAGGTTTTGCTAGCAAGGGGGCTCCAGGGGTGGCTTCTGCTAGAAGCTGCTAGAAGCTTCCCCTGTCTGGTGGAGCCAATGCCAGATGGCTCCAGGACAAATTTCCTGCCGCTGGCCAAGGCTGAGCCAATCAGGAGTGATAGTAACGCCTCTGTGATAACATACTGAAGAACGAAAAGGTATTGCGCAGAAAGAATTCCAGTCAGGGAAAAGCAGAGTGAGAACATATGAACAACAAGGTGGACACCAAGGTCAGAGCAGAAGGAGGGGCAGGAGGTGCTCCAGGCACCAGAGCTGAGGCCCCTGTGGCCCATGGTGCAGAGCATGGTGGAGCAGCTGTGCCCCTGCAGCCCATGGAGAGCCATTGGGGTGCAGAGACCCACCTGAAGCCCATGGAGAAACCCGTGCTGGAGCAGGTGGATGCATGAAGAAGGCTGTGACCCCGTGGGAGGCCCAAGATGGAGCAGGGGCCTGCCAGGGACGTGCAACCTCTGGAGAAAGGAGCCCACAATGGAGCAGGTTTTTCCCAGGTAGAACTTGTGGCCCCTGTGGGAGACCCACACTGGTACAGCTCATTTGTGAAGGACTGCACACCATGGACGAGTGACCCATGGGACAGCAGTTTTGTGAAGAACCTTTGCCTGTGGGATGAACTCATGCCAGAGAGGTTCGTGAAGAACTATCTCCCTTGGGAGGAACCCCAAGGGAGCAGGAGAAGGACTCCTCCCTGAGCAGCGGCAGAAGCAGCAACTGATGGGAACCCCCATTCCCTGTTCCCCTGCACCACTAGGGGGGAGGAGGGAGAACACGGAAGGAAGGAGGGGTGGGTGAAGGTGTTTTTAAGAATATTTTACTTCTCACTCTTTTAATCTGACCCTGTTAGTAATAAATTCAATTAATATCCCCACTTTCAGTCTGTTTTGCTCGTGATGGTGATCAGTAAGTGACCTCTCCCACCTCCTATCTCAACTCATGAACCCTTTGCTGGCTGTTTTTTTTTACTCTCCTCTGTCCAGTTGCAGAGGGGAGTGAGAGAGTGGCTATAGTGAGTACCTGGGGTCCAGCCAGGGTCAACCCACTACACTAGCTCAGGGTAACATTTTACCTACAGGATGTAATTAATCAGGATACTCTCTGTCACAGGAAATCATCCTAGAACAGGTCCCCTAGCGAGTGCCTGGTGTGTAGTGTTATTTCTAATTGCTATTCTTCCCAGGCTCCAGCTCCAGCTCCTTGTAAACCTACCCTGCCAGAGCAGGCACCAGCAGGAATTTGCCCACGAGCGATTATTCCCTGCTGCGAGAACAGCAGCCGAGGTGTAAGGGCACAGCAGGTGCAGTCGTGTTAACAAGTGACCGTCGCAGCTCCTTGTGTCTGTGACACCGGTCATATTCGGGATCCCTGAGTTCTCCTAAGCACGCAAGGAGGTCTGAGCAGCACACCAGGGCCCAGCACCTGTTTCCCAGGGACAGCCTTGCCGCGCCGTGTCAGTGCCGAGGGAAGGACACCGGAGAAAGGCGGGAGAGGAAAGCGCCGCCGCCTGCGAAAGCCTCGCCTAGCGACGGGCCGCGCTCGGCTCCGATACGGCTGTGTTGTCTCGATAACACAACAATCGGATGTAACTAATCCTGGCGGTACTGAGGCTGGAGCCAGCAGGGACTGCGAAGGAATCCCACGCCTTCCACTTCCCCCTTTTCCCACACGGCAGAGCAGGGCCCTACCAGGCCCATCCCCGCGCTGCTCCGCGCGCCGCCGCCGGGGGGCGACAGTGCCCGCGCGCCCCGGCCCCGCCCCCGG